AAAATGGCCGCCCCTCGTACGCAGATAGTGTAAATATATGGTGTATCAAGGTTGTGGACCCTCTAGAGGACACAATTCAGATTCGATCTTGATGAAACTGCCAATATAACTTTGTATCACAAAGATCTTGGTTCCTGTAGATAGTCGTGCATATCGGATTGTAACTTCCTGAATTATGGCCCTTGATTGTACGAAAAATCTCTTTTGATTAGCTTGTTCTCTATCCATCTCTTGCAAAATGTGGGCATATCTGCTTGGCAGCCACTGGCTAGCATTTTGCTCTAGATATGTTTGGTTCACAAAATGAATTAGTGATTTATTGCATAGGGTGGATTGGATTAATTTTAATTTACAAAGTAAAGTCTGTCAAATTTAAAATGTTGAACGTCGGCGTGGCAGGGTACCAACATGGTGAACGTTTAGCTAGTGTGTCACAATCGAAACGATATTTGGGGACGGGTTGTTTCTGTGTCAAATTTTGGCACTGAAGAAAATTTTGATATTATGTCACTTCTGTGACGCCATTTTCGGTTGGGGTTCTGTCCGATTTCCAAAATGGCCGACAAAATTTAACGAAAAACGAATTTCTAGTTAGGATGGGTGAGTATCACGCATATATAGGGTTTTCGTAGCCAATGAATTTCACACAAAATCTTATTTTCTATCCAGACGGACCTTCAGTATAATCTATCTGAATACAAAGTTTATGAAAATATACATTTAAACAACATTTAATATGATCTACTACCTGTAGGACTCTCCCTTCAACTTAAAAATAAATTAAACGTAAACTTTCTTGTAGCTGTAAAATACTCGACTAATAGTAATATACCAGTTGTTTATTTGTAACATGTTTAACAACATCACATCCCTCTACGCAAATTAACAATACAAATGAAAACGGGAACATTTTTTATGTTTGTAAAATAAATATCAATGATAAGTTTAAGTCTACCATGTAATACGGAAATTTGCAACACGTTTAAGCACAATATATTCCTACACGACCTAACAATAAATTGTTCATTGCATAAAAAGGAAACATTTTTTAAATATATAACTGTAAAATAATATACGAATTGTCATTTTATATGGTGTATTTTTTTACTGATAATTAAAGTATTCAAGTAATGCGGGAATTTGAAACCCGTTTTAACATCATACCTTTCGCCTCCCTTTTCAGGGATGGACACTCAAAAGGAGTATGGTAGTTTCGGGGGTCCCTAAACTTGTTAATGTTCTTGCGTAGTCATGAATTTACGTCGTTTTTGATGAATTATCAAAACACCAGGATATACTCGAGAAAGCACCATTTACAGTCAGTTTTTTTTCAAAAGAAATTTCGAGCCTGGTTGGAGAGAACCCTGGCGTTCACCTCATGAGGCAAAGATAAGCCTGTCCTATCCTAGGTATCATATGTGTAATTTTATGTCAACTTCACAATTGTTAGTATAAATATAGCATTTACTTGACAATTATCACAATTTTCACCTGGCCTTAAAACATTTTGCTTGGATTTGTGTTCCTGGTGTTATAAGCTTTCCAAAAAAGTATAGTTTGTTTAGTAGGGAGAACCTTGTAGCGGAACTGGGTTTCTAAGCAAGCTAAAAAAAATTGGCTGCAGGCCTACTAGACTATACGACAAGAGTTGCCGGGCAAAGGGTCTTTAATGTAAAAACGGACCACATTACCATTTCTGAACGAATAAGAGAAATTAGGTTCTTTTAAGAACTTATTTATGATATATAACACATGGATATATCATAAATAATTCTCAATACGACTAACGATGGTGCAAAGGCATAGGAGGTGAAATGACTTGTGATCTGTGAGATCCTGTATAATCAATTCCATATGCCCATTGTATTGTTTATGGTGTTGGGGATTGAGAGTCGGATAAGATGTAACATTTTTGAGCATTATCATTTTCAGCATTCATTTTTGAGCTCGGCGAATCTGAAAACCTTATAAAAGAGATATTATAAGCTATATAAAACAGAAAATTGACGATTTTCTAAAACATCATTCATTTTACTGAAATTATGGCCGCCATTATCAATTTTCGCCATCTTGGATTTTTCAAAGATTTTGTTAAGATTAAACATACATTATGCAAGAGTTAAATCTGTCTGTTGCAGGTCTTTCGTTAGGCCTGAAATGTTTTCTAAATTATTAATTAGACATTAATTAACGGATCCAGACCATAATCAACTCTCGGTTGCATCTGATTTCTCCGATATTAAATAGATTAGAACGGTTCAGCCGTATTTTGATTTAATCTAAAAATGGAATAGCGCGAGACTTAGCTTCCAACAACCAGTACGGTGGTTGGAAATTATTGCATACGTCTTGTCAAACCTTCAAAGGCTAATATCTTCTATTGCAATAGAGTAATTTGAATGAAATTTTCAAATAATCCATTTTACATTATCTATTTTCGAACTATTGTAGCAAGAATGGCTAGCTCTTTATCTAAATCTTCTATAATGTTTCTTGAATTGTAAGTACAGCAACATTCAGCACCCTTTAAATTGGATAGTACATGTTATATCAAACAATGAAATGACTATTATCTGACAAATTGGCCTTTTCAGGAAATTTGATCGCCATCTTGAATTTGGTACACTCATATTAGAGATTATTTTTTTATGATCGATGTTTCTGATATCTATTAAATCACTTTAGTTGACCAAATAGATAATTTGGCTTATATCGGCCTGAACACGATTTGTTAGTAAACTTATGACCAGACATGGAAAAAAAAATCGAAAATGTTGCTTTTTTCCAGATTAATCTTTCATTTTAAAACTGATAATACTGATTGGCCAGAATTATATTATGAACATTTTGAGCTATATTACATATCCATAGGTGAAACTGTTGAGTTATGAAGGCTTCCCCGACTCTCAATATTTCAAATGAAAAACAAAACGGTGGCCATTTTTAAAAATGGCCGCCAAACTGACATTTGGCAAAGTGACCCGGAAGTCCATCAACCAATTTTGGATGCGCATGAATGGACTATGTCAAGGCATTCACATAACAAGACACAAGAAATGGTTCCACTACTGATGTCTTACGTCTTACTCCAGCCATAGTAGTGGACCGTCCTTAGGCCTTCCTTTGCGCAAGTTTTGTAGTCATTTGACTACAAAAAAGTTACTGGCCTATAACTCCCTAAATTTCCAATTAAACTGACCCCAAACTGTACTGTACATAGCGTAACATATAATAACCCAATTCTGATTGAAATAAAGGTGAAACCTTATCGCATAATTATATGATTAGATATAACCCAACTGCTATGCAAAATTTTTGTTCAGTTAAAATGGCCGCCGTACCAAAATCACGTTCACTCGAAAATACAGAAAAACTATTCGGTATGATGAAATTAAGATTTCTGTGTTCCACTCTTCACTATTTGTAACATAATCACTTATTTCCATGCAAACTATGATGATATGTGTTGAAAATTTTGCAACTGAACCTAATTTTACTTGCGTAAAGAGTCGAATAGTGTATCAATTGCAGCCGTAGATAAGAATTATCTCGGCTAAAAATTGCTGCTAAACAGACACCTGCACCAATTTTGAACATTCTACCTCAATTAGAAGGAGAGTTATTGTGTTCCAAAGTCTCGACTAATCAGATTGAAGTCTGTACTTTGCCTCCGCAGAAAATGGTCAGCATCGAACCTTGTTAAGGTATTGATGTAATAGAACCATACATAAAGTTTCGCCATTATCACTCTATTAGAATCAAAGTTGTCGAGCGCCAGAGTCTCGACCGATCAAATTTGCTTATAGCCTTGCTCCCATAATCAAACTCAGTCAATGTATTAATGTGATGAAACTATACACCAAGTTTCGCCACTCTCCCATTCACTTGATTTGATTTGTTTATTTGGTGCAATGTCTATTTTCTGTCTTGTCCGCAGGTTTATCTTGTAGATTTTTGTTTTACGTGTAGTGCGGTCCTCCTGCACTTACTATTAATTAGAACAAAAGTTATCGTGTCCCAAAGCACAAACCAATCAAATTGCTTATCGTCGCACTCGCGTCAAGGCATTCGCCCAATAAACACCTACACCAATTTCGAGCATTCTAGCTCAATTGGAAGGAAAGTTATTGTGTCCCAAAATGTTTGACGGACAGACAGACGGACGAACCCATTTTAATGGTCCCCTGCTTTCGTCGAAAGGCGGGGGACAGTTAATTAACTTACCAAGACCATGATCAACTCTCGATGCCATCGGATACTCTAGATTTTCAACAGATTTAAATACAATTTGCGGTTAACATAAAAAAAGGATAATCGAGACTTAGTTTGATATATATCGTAACAACGGTAGCAATGACCCTTGAGGCTACACTGTTCGTGTAACGGCAATAACTAGACTCAGAGTGAAGTAATACGAGTATCTAAATTTCGATTGTTGATTATAAAATACTGTACACCCTAGCCACACATAAGACGCTGGCTCGCTAGCCTGGAGGTCGGGTGTTCGATCCCTGCATTGGCCGAGAAAGTTCATCCAGAGTTTCCTGCGTGGTTCCCCCTTGTCAGTGATGCAGGACGGAGGGCCTGACAAGGACAGCTGTCTAGTCGTTCGGATGGCACGAAAAACCGAGGTCCCGTGTATACATTGGCATGCACGTAAAAGATCCCTTGCTAGTTGGAATTCGATATAAGAGTAGGCTATAGTGCCGCTACCCGAGCAAAATGTTCCCTCATATCACACTATAGCGTATGCCCGTCTTCATTAGCCCAGTAGGACGTTAAACCACATTTGATTTCCCTAGCCACACGGATACAAACTAATATTAACCTCCTTAGATTTGTTTGTATCATATTTTTATACCCTTAGATTGTATATTATTTACGAAATAAAAACAGCTTTAAACCAAGTGTGTTGAAAATGTTTTATGCAAACCCGCCATTCAAATAAACCAAATGAATACACGATCAAAGCTTAGTACAAAGTTCTGCGCAGACGGCTTTAAACACAATAGTGTAGTATAATTCAAATTCCCGTACTGACCTGTATTGCGCGACTGGATTATATCACTCAATGAAGTGTTACACCAACTTGAGGTAAATGGTTATTCTGTCCAGACCTAAGAGTATCTTCTAGAAAGGTAAGCTTATGCCGAAGTTCGTTTTTTGTGGGGGGGGGGGGCAAAGGTTTATCGCCTGCGAGCTAGATCATAAGGTATGTCATTGAGTCAATTAGAGTGTTTTCGATTCTGGCTTGTTCGTGACAAGGGTGGAGTTGTCCGTCTAGCCTGGTGGGGTTTCTCCGGGTCCTTCCGTTTCTTCCCGCAGCTAAAGACGGGTCTCCTGTTCAACCTCGTCGATTTTCTCTGGGTCCTCTCACTCACATCTAAACGCGTAAGAACATTATTGAAATAAAATTGAACCATATGTTATTCTCGAAGTGTTGTGGTTGGTGTATATATGGAGGTTAAACTCTCTCCCTCTCTTTTAGATGTGCTCATTTATTTTTCAGATGATGTGGTTTAAAAAAATAGAAATTAAAAAAACAGTGGAGCGGAAAATTCCAAAGGTTGTCTTCTGCCTTATTCTATTCTCGTGTGTATTTCGAATACTTTACTGGTCCTACTTGGAAACCATTCCGATGGAAGAATTCCCCATTTTGTCTCCGGATTTCTTTGTGGATACAACTGGGTGTAAAATACCGGATTATAACCCATTCAGTACTTCCATTAAAAAGTTCTTTAAATATCGAGAGAAATATGGCTGTTTAGTGAAAGATGCATACACGAGTCAAGAAGGGATTACCCTAAGAATATCTGCGAAACTGAAAAGTTTCACAGAGTTTTCCCATTGTGAATACAGGGGAATAGAAAGAGAGTCTAATTCCGAACACAAAGTTATTTTTACTGAATCTATAAAATTTACGGATGATGTAAACGTTACACATGGTCAAATCAAAGTCACCTGTTTTGATGAAAACGGAAATGATATCTATAGAAATTATCACGCGTTCATTTTACCCAAAACGGAACGCATTAAGGAATTGGATAAGCAATTAGTCCAACACAAGGCGCAAAACAGACCAAGTGAATTGTTGAATGTCTGGATGATTGGTATAGAATCTATGTCCAGGCTCAACCATATACGAAATATGCCAAAAACAAGAGATCTTTTGCTAAACAAACTCGGAGCATTTGACTTTAAAGGTTACACAAAAGTAGCAGATAATTCTTTTATCAATATTGTGCCGATATTAACGGGACATTTTGACCAAGAGGAATTTGAAAGGCTAAATATCACCCAATCCACAAAAACACCAGCCGATGATCTTAATATCATTTGGAGGAATTATTCTCAAGCTGGTTATTCAACACTATATGGGGAAGATTTTCCAGAAAGTGGAACATTCCAGTACACCATGGGTGGTTTTCAAAAACTGCCAACTGATTATTATTTACGACCTTTTGCTATAGCTCTTAACGACGATCCGTACGTATGGAATAGTTTCCATAACTGTGTTCAGAATCGTTCAGAAACAAGCATCATACTTCAATACGGTTTAGACTTTTTTCAAACTTTCCGACATCGTCCAGCGTTTGCGTTTTCATTCCCAGTACACCTGACTCACGGTGAGGCAATTAAATACGCGTATACCGCCGACGATTACTATTTTGAAATCCTGGAAAAAGCTCTACATAACGGAATTTTTAACAATACTGTGTTGATTTTCTTTGGCGATCACGGATACCGTTTTGGAGATTTTGTAAAAACATTTATAGGCAAACTGGAGGAACGAATGCCGATGATGTATGTCACAGTTCCAAAGTGGTTTCATCAAAAATATCCTCAAATCGTGAATAATTTATCGCATAATACAAAAAGATTGACATCAAACTTTGATATTTATGAAACATTAAACGATATTTTATATTTTACCGGTAACCCAAAGGGAAGTATTGACGTCACAAAACAAAGGGGAATAAGTCTGTTTGAAAAAATCCCAGGCGAAAGAACGTGTGACAATGCTGGAATCCTTCCACACTGGTGTGTCTGTAAATTAGAAGAAGATGGACTAAGTAAAAACTCTGAATTTCGCGATAGAAGTGTGCAGTTCTTCGTAAATGAAGTTAATAATAGATTAGAAAATTATAAAATGTGCTCAAGAGTCCAACTTAGTAAAATAAAAGACTTTAAAATATTTAAATCTACAAGCAAAAGTCCCGATAACGTTTCTGCTCTCTCTAATGGATCAAACATGTACATCATTAAAATTTCTGTTTTATTAAATCCGGGATCGGGCGAGTTCGACACCACCTTAGTTTACAACGCGCGATCTGAAACATTTGATACTCCCGGAGCAATCAGTAGAATGAATAAGTATGGCCACACGGCGGATTGTGTTAAAGGTGAAAAGATTCAACCGCTCTGTTACTGTGAATATTGATTGACACCACTCCTCTTGCAGTGTCACGGCCGATTCTTGCAGTGTTGTCGGTTGACTTATATGGTTATACTACTTCTGTTTATAAAATTCAGAAGTAGTATATCCATAAAAGTGTGTTAATTTTAATCGTTTATTAATGATTAAATCTATTTACTGGTTGTTTATCAAAATGAAATGTTTAATTAACAATGTGTTAATTTAGCACAAGGAAAACATAAGTTAAATTTGATGATAAGTGAGTTAAACATACATTATACAAGAGCTAAATCTGTCTATTGCAGATCTTTCTTTAGTCCTGAAATGTTATCTAAATTATTAATTAGACATTAATTAACCTATCCATGACATAATCAACTCTAGATGGCATCGCTAGCCTGTGATCTTCAGTGGATTGTGAGCCGATTTACTGCATAACTTTCCTTCACGATTTAACGATTAAATGGATAATCGAGACTATGCTGTTTATCGTACTAACTTTAGTAATGATGACCGAGGCTAGGCGGAAATTTCAATCGCTTAATTCTCGGTTCATAGTGGATCAATTTGAATGAAATTTTCAGCAAATTGCCTTTACATTATCTAGTTTTTAACTATTATAGTGAGTACTGCCAACTCGTTATCGAATCTCCCATAATGTATCTTTAATGTCAAGAGGTAAAGGCTACTTCGAAGCGTCGCACAAATAAATCAGTAATTGTTCTTCCATAAGTATGTGTTTTAGTTTATTGCTCTATCCAGTTACTAATCTAAAGGATCAAGAATCATTTGTTTTGGATTTTTCCCCAGCTCACACTAAATCCGAGGTTCTTCTACCAGCCTATATTTTTATACACGTATTTGAAAAATACATTTAGGTCTACGTGTAATATTTAATGCATAAAATCAAAATGTTTTGATCTTTTGAATTCTATTATGTAAAATACATGAATAAAGTATAAATAATGAATAAAGAGAGAAAAATAAGATTTAACGTTGATGCGACGTTGTGATCTTATGATCCAAACCCTCAATAATGATAAAAGCCAAGACATGTATTAAATATGTTATTGAATTGGAATAGAAACTGAAAATAACCTAACACCCCGTGCGGGATATTTCATTCAAATATTGTAAAAGGGTTGGTAATAAAAGCTTTATTGTCGAAACTTGAAATTGTAGTAGTTGAAAACAGACCAATAGAAATCCAAGTTACTAAATTGAAGGATTCCTGAGATCGAATTTAAAGAGAAAATTGAATTTGATAAATTTGAAGTTTAGTGTAGTGTAATATGTCCTTGAAGTGTGACTGTTTGTTCTTTTAAAACCGAGGTCCCATGTACACATTGGCGTGCACGTAGAAGATCCCTTGACAGTTGGTTGGAATTCGATATAAGAGTAGGCCGTAGTGCCGCTGTCCGGGCAAAATGTCCCTCATAGCACACTGTATGGCGTATGCCCGTCTTCATTAGCCCAGTTCGGAGCAGAACAGTAGGACGTTAAACCCCATTTCATTTCTCATTTCTTTTCATGTTTAATGTGTTCGAAGTAAATGTTGTTTTAAACCAATATTTCATGTTGAAAATGTTTTATGCAAACCTGGCCATTAAAATAAATAAAAGGAATACACGATAAAAGCTTTATACCAGGTGTTGTTGAGACGGTGCCCTGAAAGCTATAATTGAATATTGCGCAAGACAGATTGCTCAATATGATTCAAACATTGACTAACTCTTTTAGACATTGACCTGTTTGGAGGAGTGTGCAATGTAATATCACTCTGATATATGGAAATGATATACGGATTGGGGAATGCTCATTAGTCCGCGGTTTACTAATCCGCGTGTTCATTAGTCCACCGATATCCATTATAGGGGTAGGGTTACGGTGCACGAGTCCACGGGTTCATTAGTCCACCAATATCTATGATCAGGGTTAGGGTTGGGATTGTGTTTTTTGATACCCATATGTATAGTATTTCTTATAGCGGCGGACTAGTGAATCCCCCTCTCTGCGGATTAACATCCTACCGGTAAATGGTTAATCGACCACACCTAATATAATCTTCAAGAAATATATATATATATATATGTATAGACAGCAAAACATCATTGAATATGTAAGCAGTAACAATGTTACTGATCACAACCTGTTAGAATTTGGATCGTAATGTATTCTGGCCTATGCAATATCCAACACCATAAACAGCCTTATTATGCTCAACTGTCGAACGGGAAGTTTTTTTTAAAGTAGTACATATGGACATTTTCTTAAATAAGAAGACAGAATAATTTTATTTCGTTCCAGTAAATAAGGACGTACATTTCTGATATTTAACGACATCCACAATCGCGATCAAAATGACGCATGTTTGGCAGAACGAACCCACCGAGGAAGGGTACGTCACCTTTGTATCTATAATAACATCCAAATCAGCTTTGGTGGCAAATTGCCTTTTAATTCTCAGAACCAAGTGGTAAATATACTACAAGACAGCCAAACGTCCTAAGTTGAATTTTTGAAATAATATATTGCAAAAAACATACAAAAGAGGTATAACAAAATGGGTTCAGGGTAGCTTCAATGCCCACACAATAAAATCAAACCATCTTTGGTGACTCAAAGATGTTTTATATGAACAGATGAAATAACTATGGACATGACTAAGTTGATTTAACTTCGATGTTGCATATTCGATTTGTTTCATCTCCCAACTGGACACGCAATAAAACCGAAACTAATTTTGGTAGCAATACGACAATATTTTTTGATTCATAAAATCCAGGGACGAATACAGTACAAGACAACATTTTAAAGATTTTATATAAAAAAAAGAACATTTTCAAGATAACGCGTGTGCGTTGGATCATAAGGTCTGTTATTGACTCAAGTGGCGTGGTTATGATTTCCCGCTTGCACGTAACAAGGAGTAGGGCTGCCTTCCAGCCTCGTGGGTTTTCTTCGGTCCTCCTGTTACCTCCCACTCCTTGGGATCCCTACGTGCAAGCGTATTATTGAAAAAATGTTGAACCGTTTTAGTCCCGAAATTACCTAGTTTGTGTCGAATGGACGTTATACCCCATTTCTCTATCTATGGGCTTCTGTAAACATAGTTTTGTTACCAAAGAGTATCGTGTCCAGTTAGCCTGCTGTGTCATATTTGAGTATGTTTACTGTAGAAAATTATAGGTTTCTTTATTTTTATCTAATCTAACGTATATGTCTTAAATTGCCCCTTTCAATACAAATAGATAACCATAGTAAATAACTATATAAATATATTGGCGCTAGGAATATGTTTGCTAACTTCATTTCAAATCTGGGTGCTTGAATAATGCATGATTATGTTACAAGTCATTCAAATTGGTGTATTTAGGGAAGTACAACATACAGTGGGAGCTTTGGATAATTAATGAGAGGGATTCAAGGTAGGGTTTATATAAGAATATAAATATAGTACTATGACTATCAGTAGTTTTCGATATTTTTTTTTGTTCAGCTTCAGGAGACGTCCTGCATTAGTCATTCAGAGGCGTATTATTGACTTTGTAACAAGGACAACGAACCAATGTTCGGTAATATTTGCATTAGCTCAGTTTACCCGCGGCTACATGGGTGCATGTCTTCTAGTAGGACTTAGCCAAAGTGCAGCAGAACCGCACTGCACGCAAAACAAAATCTACACAGATATTGCAAGAAATAACCAACAAATATCAATTCAGTCCGGGTCCTCCCTCAAAATTCGGAAGCAAACATGATTTAATAATAATAGTGTATATTTATAATGCGCAATTTTCCATACACGTATGCATGCTCAAAGCGAGAGAGAGAGAAATGGGGTTTAACGTCCATTCGACACAAACTAGGTCATTTCGGGACTAACATGGTTTAATTTTATTTTAATAATTCGCTTGCGCGTAGGGGTCTTTAGCAGTGGGAGGAAACCGGAGGACCCGGAGAAAACCCACGAGGTTGGAATGCTCAAAGCGTCATACACTGTGTATCTTTCACCATTTACACAACAGTATATTCGGTCAAATACAACTGTATACACATTCAACATGAAAAAACGTAATAGAAATAATATAAGACTTGAGATTTTCCAATGTACCAGAAAAATAAATATACTACCCACTTTTTTGTCCCCTAAAATTAATTTAGATCTATAAAATTCAATCTCAAATGTAAGAATTGATTTGAACGCAATATCATTTATTATACAACTATTTAATTAAAGGATTTAAATCGTTAATTTTTGGGACCTAGAAATTGACACAAATGTGTTGCAACGCATATAATAATGTAATATGAATGTATATAAACTGATTTAATTTCAATCCTTTCCATTTTTACTCTAATTTAAAATCAGTTATGTTCGGCGAAATACGCCAGAAGTCTCAATCGAATGGCAATCTCTAGCGTCTGGATATTCCAGCCTACTCTGGAACGCATTATGGTACACGATTCGTGTACCGATAGTAAAATGTTTATTTTGTCTTAAACATTGGATGTCAGAAGTCAATTTTTCCCCCGGAAGATCACAACATCAATGTTGAATTAAATTGACCAATAATTCGTGTGTTCAATGTCGAAGACTTTGGATGCTATTGAGTTAGAGACTTAGCTACTTTAATCAGGGTTCCATGATAAATATGTTCTGATGAAATTATCGCAATCATTATCATAGGACATATAATCAGGCTATTGATATGATTAAAGATAGCAGCAGATTCTCGCAAAATCGTTTCCATTGAAAACCACTGATGTTGTAGACTGTGAATACAAGATAATTACTGAACTAACACCAAATCGTTTATGTGGTAGGAACACTGGTATGTTACTTATTTATCTAATTATTTATATTCGGTCAATTACAATAATTATTTTGAAATATCATTATGGTGTTTCACAATGACTTGGCTTAACGGGTGTGGTATTGAAACCGTGATGATAAAACCTCAGAATTTGTCTAACACTATCTTTTTATTAAATATTTACATAATATAAAGATACCATAACCATTAACAGGATTTACATAACATAAAGGAGGGCTTGACAAGGACAACTGTCTAGTCGTTCGGGTTGGACGAAAAACCGAGGTTCCTTGTAAACATTGGCGTGCACGTAAAAGATCCCTTGACAGTTGGAATTCGATATAAGAGTAAGCCGTAGTGCCGCTGTCCGGGCTAAATTCCCCTCATAGCACACTGTATGGGGTATGCCGGTCTTCATTAGCCCAGCTTGGAGCAGAACAGTAGGACCTTAAACCCCATTTCATTTCATTTTATTTTCATAATATAAAGATACCATAAAAATTTATAGGATTGGACAACGTGCTGAATTAAATATAAAAAAAAACTATATACAAGTACATATTTACATAAATATTAAACCTTGGACTGGCAAATTTTTAAATGACATTCTGAAAGTGATATAATTATGGAAGTCCAACTGGGACAATATTGGACTGACAAAGTTTAAAATGACACCCTGAAAGTGATATAATTATGGAAGACCAACTGGGACAATATTAATGATATTCGTTTCTACATTTTAGTTTAAACATTGTATATGCGACAGCCATATTTTAAACATGAAATTGACCTTAGGTTTCTTTTTCGGTGTTTTATCGGTAACATTTCTATATCATTAAACATTAAAATTGTACAGCACAAAGGTCAATTCGTTGGTTTCTAAAATTATCTTAAAACAGTAATGGAATTTGAACTCTTGTGAAAATATTTTCAATGTTTCAAAAGGTCTTGATATTAAAGTCTTGAAATAAAAATGTCACGAAAAATACAACGAATATGTACCCCATTGATACAGACTATAGACCATACACTAAAATAGATGTAAACAAGTCGAGTCCCGCCAGAGAGAGGGAGATGGCGTGATTTCGATTCCTCGGTTGGTGACAAGGAGTTGGGTCGCCTTCCAACGTCGTGGGTTTTCTCCGAGTCCCTCTAATTTCCTCCCATGGCTAAAGACCCGTGCACGCAAGCGAATAGTTGAAATAAAATGTTAGTCCCGAAATGTCCTAGTTTGTGTCGAGTGGACGTTAAGCCCCATTTCTTTTTCTCAATACTTACGCACGATTGTTTGTCAATAGCCTATTGGTGGTATGAATATATAATTAATATATATATTGCCTGATTCAGGTCTAATAACAGGGTCACGCGGAGATAAGTGACACATATTTAACGCTGTACTAGGATGCCTTAGGGGCCGATGGGGTTATCGCACAAAGCAAGATACTCTAGATTATTCGAAGGTGTAATACTGGTCAGAGATTAATATCTTATACATTTGTATACAACTAGGCTAAGTATACAGTATAAATATTCCCTCATACTGTACTAATGTCCAAAAGAAAGTATACACACTAAAAATATGACTAAGTTTTGTTTAAATCAACAAAATGTGATAAAACTACACTGAACATGTCTCGTGCGTCCAAACTCAATATTTCCAAGCAAATAAAAGGCAAAACAAATGGACATTGTACCCGAATACCCCATACAATGGAAAAACGACTTTGTTTGAAGCAGGACAAAATGCACAGTGTATACTTTCTTTTGGACATCAGTATATATTAATTTAACGATTTACATTTTTCGAAAAGTATTAAATGTCTGACCAATTCGTCGCTTTTCTGGCGAACCGACGAATCTGAAATATTTAAGTATTGAGAATTATGCGTTTGAAATTTGCTCTCTGTTGTTATCTCTATGTCCATCAAATAATAAAGTTTATGTAAAAATGAAATGAAATGGGGTTTAACGTCCTACTGTTCTGCTCCGGACTAGGCTAATGAAGACGGGCATACGCCATACAGTGTGCTATGAGGGAAATTTTGCCCGGGCAGCGGCACTATCGCCTACTCTTATATCGAATTCCAACTGCCAAGGGATCTTTTACGTGCATTCTAATGTATACACGGGACGTCGGTTTTTCGTCTCATCCGAAGGACTAGACAGCTGTCCTTGTCAGGCCCTCCGTTCTGCACCACTGACAATGCCAGACGAGGCATTCTGGGGTTTATAGTGATACATATACATCAGGACACAGAACGCCATTTACATAAAATTTACATTTACAAAGTTTATGTAAATGGCGTTCCGTGTCCTGATGTATATGTATCACTATTAACCTCAGAATGCCTCGTTCGGCATTTTAGTCCAAACGTGGCAAAAACGTATTAAAATTTTTGCCGTAATTTTGCCAAGTTGTAACGTATCCAACCTTGTGATCAGCCTCGTTCTGGTCAAAATACCTCGTTCCAAAAACATGGCAATTTAAATAAAAATACGTTTTGGAACTCCAGACGAACGTGGCATTTTGCTTTTACAACGTGGCAAAAATTTTATTAGCTCGTTTTTGCCACGTTTGGACAAAAAAAGCTAAACGAGGCATTCTGAGGTTTACAGTGTTATATTTTTTTTTCATTATATTATCTGTAATACTTGTTTTTATTTATGTATATAAATATACTTATGTGATATTGGTTTAGTTTGTCTCGACAAAAATCACCATGTGTTTGGCACCATATAGCCCGGTTGGAGCTGACGTGCCAAAAAAACTCGTTCGTTCATTCATTCATTCATTTAAGGTTACTGGGTATGACACACTTATACAATTTAACTCTTATAAGATTAATTAAATACCGTTTTGTTTTAGGTCAAAAATGGATGATACCATTTGAAACTCGACACATTACTGTCACAGCTCGATCTTTCCGTACACATTAACGAATTTACTGTATCTTTTAGAGGACATTGAGGATTTGCGGGACCATCGTCTTGGGGTTTTTTTTTAGGGTTAAACCCGTTTAGTTCCATAGACCTGTATCAACATTTTAAAGGTGCATGTTGTAAGATTTAGATAAAGTGATAGCTATAATATAGGTTAATATTTGACTGAATATTTCAGTCAAAGCGCTTTATTCTGAGCAAAGTTATGCATGTTTGAAGATTAGACATGAAATAATCGCCGAATGACAGTCCATAAGCTTAATCTGATCGTCAAGTACACAATAATAGTCTCAATTTTCAGGCCTTCACCGTGAGTGTCGCCTTATAATCGCTTAACGTAGATTTGGCGGTCATTCTCTAAATTCACTCAATATCTAAGCCATCCGATGATCTAAGGAGTTGATTATGGGCTTGGTATGCGATTGAATGTCTAAATTATAAATAATATAATACTGGACGCCAAAAAAAGAGACCTGCAATAGGCAGATTTAGTCCCACGTTCCTGAAGCAACGACCGCGAGTTTTACAGCATCTGGCATTCCTGAACTAGAAACATTATCCCCCTTTACCTCAGACACGTGAACAATGGCGTCCAATTAGAGATCGTGGCACACACTAAAATCAAACATGGCGACCTCTACGAAAACCTTGACATTGAACGGACCTTGAACTTCGTAACTCAATTATCACAGGTATACATTTTAGCTGGAAAGCGCGAGACCTACTTTTGGTATTTTCTATTGAGGAATCCGAGAGGCCTATCGAAATTAGTGACGAGTAATATGCAGAGTATTACTTGAAGGGCTTGATAACAATTACGGATTTAAGGCCAATTTCTATTGGAGATGATTTAGCTCCTGCATAATGCCCCTTTACATTCTGTAAGAGCTAAATCGGCATATTGCAGGTCTTTTGTCTGGCTACAAATGTTATTAGAACGCCGCGATACAATAGATAATCGAGACTTAATCTCGATTGCCAAGTACCGTTGCTACGATAATAAACAATCTAGCTATATTTTGTCAAAACTTCAAACACTCATCACTTCGCATAGAATAAATTATTGACAGAAATTTCAATAAATAAAGTTATCATTATCTATTATTGAACTATTATAGCAAGAACGGCCAGTTCTTTATATAATTCTTATATACTGCATCTTTAACTGGTAATATTAATTAAATTTCCTCGATCTTTAAGGGGGTATTGATTTTTAATATCCTATCAACCCACTTATCGATACTTCAAGCTAATAATGAAGCAGGTGATATTCCCAGCCACTTTTTTTCAAGGAAATAAAGCAGGCTGTATGCGAGTTAAAATATTGAATAACTTTAATACTCGTCTTCCATCTGCTGAAGCTTTAGATGTGGGGGTTGGGTTGCCGAATGATTTAACGCGTGGGCGTTATATCACAAGGTCTCTCGTTAAGTCGAGTGGCGTGGTTTCAATTTCCCGCTTCTACGTGACACGGAGTAGGATCGCCTGTCCTCCGCATTCCTCCCACATCTAAAGACCCCTACGCGCAAGCACACTATTGGAATCAAATTGAACCGTATGTTAAACACCATCTCTCTTCTATCTGTGCTTACAACCAAATGTGCGTACAGTGACATGAGAACGTGGGCTTGTGTGAAGCAAGTGCAGCGAAATGTCTACAGTGAAGTGAAAATCAACATGCCTAATGCTCCAATTAAAATCTAAAAGTTTGTAAATAAAATCACGTATGAGGTTTTACTATAGTGGTTGTCCGGTAGAAGAAAATGAAATGTTTCTATGCATTGGTGTATTTGTACAGTAGCTTTTGAAAGGGAGAGGCAGAAATGGGGATTAACCTTGACTCGACACAAACTAGGTCATTTCAGGACTAACATAAAGAATGTTCAATTTTATTTCAATAATTCGCTTGCGCGTATAGGGGTCCTTTAGCAGTGGGATGAAACCGGAGGTCCCGGAGAAAACCCACGAGGTTGGACAGGCGACCCTACTCCTTGTCACGTTCAACCGGGGAATCGACACCACGCAAGTTGACACAATGACAGACCGTATCATACAACGCACACCCTTTGAAATGGATTCAGCTATTAAATAACTAAATCCCATAAGTCAAGCAATGCATGTAAAATGGATGGGTGGGTGGACGGGGCCGAGGACAACGACAATTAACATGATATGCGCACAAAATGTAGCTCTTGTTATTTACTTTTCAGATGATGTGGTTTAAAAAAATAAGAACTAAAAATAATGTGGAGCGGCAAATTCTAAATGTGTTCTTCTGCCTTATTCTGTTCTCGTGTGTATTCCGTATATTTTACTGGAACTACTTGGAAACCATTCCGATGGAAGAATTCCCCATTTTGTCTCCGGATTTCTTTGTGAATACAACTGGGTGTAAAATACCGGATTATAATCCATTCAGTACTTCCATTAAAAGGTTCTATAAATTTAGAAAGAAATATGGCTGTTTAATGAAAGATGCATACACGAGTCAAGAAGGGATTACCCTAAGAATATCTGCGAAACTGAAAAGTTTCACAGAGTTTTCCCATTGTGAATACAGGGGAATAGAAAGGGCGTCTAATTCCGAACACAAAGTTATGTTTACTGAATCTATAAAATTTACGGATGATGTAAACGTTACGCGTGATCAAATCAAAGTCACCTGTTTTGATGAAAACGGAAATGATATCTATAGAAATTATCACGCGTTCATTTTACCCAAAACGGAACGCATTAAGGACTTGAATAAGCAATTAGTCCAACACAAGGCGCAAAACAGACCAAGTGAGTTGTTGAATGTCTGGATGATTGGTATAGAATCTTTGTCCAGACTCAACCATATACGAAATATGCCCAAAACGAGAGATCTTTTACTAAATAAACTCGGAGCATTTGACCTTAGAGGTTACACAAAAGTGGCAGACAATACGTATATCAATATTGTTCCCATGGTAACAGGACATTTCGCCGAAGAGGAATATGAAAAACTGAATATAACCGAATCCAAAAAAACACCTGCTGATCAACTTAATATCATTTGGAGGAATTATTCTCAGGCTGGATATTCAACACTATTTGGGGAAGGTCATCCAGTGATTGGAGCATTCCATTACGTCTTAGGTGGTTTTAAGAAACTACCCACGGATTATTATTTACGACCTTTTACCCTAGCGCTTGAAGACGATCCGTACGTATGGAATAGTTTCCATAACTGTGTTCAGAATCGTTCAGAAACAAGCATCATACTGCAATACGGGTTAGACTTTTTTAAAACTTTCCGACATCGTCCAGCGTTTGCGTTTTCATTCCCAGTACGCCTGACTCACGATGAGGCAATTAAATACGCGTATACCGCCGACGATTACTATTTTGAAATCCTGGAAAAGGCTCTACATAACGGAATTTTTAACAATACTGTGTTGATTTTCTTTGGCGATCACGGAAACCGTTTTGGAGATTTTGTAAAAACATTTATAGGCAAACTGGAGGAACGAATGCCGATGATGTATGTCACAGTTCCGAAGTGGTTTCATCAAAAATATCCTCAAATCGTGAATAATTTATCGCATAATACAAAACGATTAACATCAAACTTTGATATTTATGAAACTTTAAAAGATATTTTATATTTTACCGGTAAACCAAAGGGGAATATTGACGTCACAAAACAAAGGGGAATAAGTCTGTTCGAAAAAATCCCTGATGACAGAACGTGTGACAATGCTGGAATCCTTCCACACTGGTGTGTCTGTAAATTAGAAGAAGATGAACTAACTAAAAATACTACATTTCGAGATGGTAGTGTGCAATTTTTCGTAGATGAAGTTAATAATAGATTAGCGAATTATGATATGTGTTCAAAAGCCGAACTTAGTGAAATAAAAGAGTTCAAAATATTTAAATCCTCAAACCGAAATGCAGATAATGTTTCAAAGGGTGTCGAACAAAACACAATTACAAATTCTTCTCTCTCTATTGGCTCAAACACGTACATAATTAAAATTTCTGTTGTACTAAATCCGGGATCGGGTGAGTTTGACACCACCTTAGTGTACGACGCTCGTGCTCAAAAATTTCATTCTGCCGGACAAATCAGCAGAATTAATAAGTATGGCCACACGGCGGATTGTGTCAAAGGTGAAAAGGTTCAAAAACTTTGTTACTGTAAAAAGCAGTCGTCATTTTTCTCCTGAAATGAGTTTTGTGGATATATTCTGGGATTGAACGTTTATGTATGCCCGAATGCCATCCAGACGTATATTTCAGAAACAATGCGGTTAAAGAAACAAATATTATTATTGTTTACGTCCCTTTGATCGAGTAGTTAAACCGTCAAAATGTCGCACTGTATAAATAATTGAACTACTTCAATAGAGACAGGACATGGTGCTGGTTCTATATATACTAATGTCCAAAAGAAAGTATACACACTAAAAATATGACTAAGTTTTATTTAGATTAAAAACATTTGATAAAACATTACTGAGTTTGTCTCTTACGTCAAAACTCTTCTAAGCAAAATGAAAAAGCGAAACAAATTGACATTGTACCCAAATGCCGCATACGATGGAAAACGACTTTGGTTGATACTGCACGAAATGCACAGTGTATGCTTTCTTTTGGACATTAGTATAGATTATTTAATGACAAATGAAATATGTTATAGGCAAATCTTATCCAGTTGTCTGCATCATTAATCCTTATACCTTTAGGCATTACAAATGCCCCTGCTTAATTACGCCGCTTGGTGCAGAAAAGTAGTACCTTAAGCCCCATTTCATTCTGTTTTCATTTTGCAAATGGGAATTCGGCTACTTATCATGTTATTCAGCTGTAAAATCAAGTAGTAGGCAGGGTGGAGTTGTCTCTTTATTTTAATTATTTTAGATTTATTATCTAATTTCAATTTAAGGATATACTTGCAAATATACAAACATCAATTGGACAATAATACATCCAAGCTACCATAGAAAATGTATTTGTTGTGATCAATATTAGTAATGCTTCGACAAAAGCTTGCTTGACAAGCTACTAATTTTATCCTAACCGCCGTTATGTTTGTAGAGCGCTTTGTCATTACCAAGCAACATGCGAGTACTGCAAGACTTGAGTGTTTGGCGTTCGTGCTCGGTAATAATAATCTTGTTTTAAATTATTGTGGTTTTTATAGGCGTTTCCAGTGTATAATGTATATTCCTGGCAATTACAAATATCTTTATCATAAATGAAATGATGTTTAACGTCCTACTGTTCTGCTCCTATACTGGGCTAATGAAGACGGGCATACGCCATATAGTGTTCTATGAGGGAAATTTTGCCCGGGCAGCGGCACTATCGCCTATCGAATTCCAACTGCCAGGGGATCTTTTCGTGCATTCCAAAATATACACGGGACCTCGGTTTTTCGTCTCATCCGAAAGACTAGACAGCTGTCCTTGTCAGGCCCTCCGTTCTACACCACTGACAAGGGGAAACCACGTCGGAAAATCCTGATGAACTTTCTCGGCCAATGCAGGGATCGAACACCCGACCTCCAGGCTAGCGAGTCAGCGTCTTAAACAACTAGCCACCGTGACTGCTACCCTTTATCATAAATAAGACTGGTTACATAACGTATAGCTCTGTTCTTTAGAAACTTTAAATAGACGAAAATGGGTGTAAAACCACATAAGAATGTAATATGAGTGCATTTAAAGTGAATTAATTAGCTTCAATATTTAGCGGCAAATCATTGAGCGCCTGCCACTTCATGATTCCGCATTTGATGAAGAAGTAAGTAGGCCACGAAGGTTACGTAGCCTATTTTGCACTCAAAAATGCTCGGATGTAATGGCCGCTCGACGGTTATCGTTTCAGTCTATTTTTTTTAATGGTTATACTTTTTTAAATACAACATGACCGTTTATTTAGTTATAATGTGATAAACTAAGTTAAGACCTGTTATATATATATATAAATATTGTGGTATAATTGTCGAGATATTTGGAGATAATTATTTCTGGTGGAGCACCCTATCAACGTTTGGGAAATGTAGAACCAGTCTTAGCTCCACGTGCAAACTTGAGTATAATGGTAATGCCTGATGAACATTTTCATTTAAGGGCGTCACTTTTGACAAGCACCTGTGATGTTACCACATCATTGGTTGAATGAATCAGTTGTGTAATTTCTAATAGTTGCATGTATGTCCATGTTTTTTAAAAAATGAATTATATTTAATTTTGTACTCACCTACAGAAAGCATCCGGAAGCAGCAAGAAAAGACAATAAAAACAAATAATTTGAATGATGGCTGAAATTTAAAACACATAGAAGCAATAATACATTTACATAAAACAAGACAATAACCAAGCAACTTTGGCCGTACCTTTAACATTAAATCAGTGATTCTCAACCAGTGTGCCGCGAAATTTCTCACTAAAGAAGTCAGCTATTTGACTCATGAAATTCGAAACACTGCAATAAAGTAGGTCCATAGCTGTGTTTGTCTTTATTTAGTTTGAATTATTCTATGGGTCTATGACTAGTCCGACGGTTGTATGCCGTCTATGACTTGCCATGTTTTCAATTTGAACAAATATTTTTCATGTATATTAAGCCAGGTGTCCCGCTCTGTTTTCATGTGTTCCAAGGTGTGTCGGTGGCAAAAAAAAGATTGAGAACCACTGCATTCAAAGGACGCCTAATGGCCGTGTTGTTTCAAAGAAACTAACAATATTACTAGCGATAGTTTCTTTAAAAATTAATAAAGACTCTTAAGCCGCTTTGTTTGCGCTGCATATGAATCAGAGCGCTAGATAATCCCATATATACTATTCAAAAAAAGTAGGGGATATTTGATTTTTAAGTGTTATTAAAGTCACCTAATGAAACTGACGAAGAAACAAATGACAAAATGAAATGAAGTTCACATTCATCGATTTATTCCAAATGATCGTTAGACTAAGTAAGGCACAGACTGACCATTATAAGGGTAAAATGATACCCGGGGTCAAACAGCAAAGTTACCACAGCATCACAACCAAGTCAGTAACGGGTAAATCCTCCTCTGTTTGCCAAACAAGCATTGATCCGACGTGGCATACTCCTAATGAGACGTCTAAGGTCATTTTTGTCCAGATTGTCCCATTCCTGTTGCAACGCAGCAGCAAGTTCTTGGACATTGGCAGGATGTTGTTGACGTTGACGTAATCTCTGTCCAAGCATGTCCCAGACATGCTCGATGGGGGAGAGGTCGGGACTCAGTGCTGGCCAAGGTAATGTGGTGATGTTCTGTTGTTGGAGGTAACCTGTAACGATCCTGGCCCTGTGACATCTTGCGTTGTCATCCTGGAAGATGAAACGGCGGCCATGACGTCGTGCGAACGGCACAACATGGACTGCCAAGATGTTGTCCCGGTAGTACTGGCCTGTAACACGCCTTGCAACAACATGTAAAGCCGTTCTTCCAGCAACAGTGATGCCTCCCCACACCATAACAGAACCACCCCCAAATCGATCATGTCTGATGACGTTAACGTCTTGGAAGCGCTCCTACGTCTGTCCAAAAAATCAACAGTGAACCTTGACTCATCTGAAAACATCACATTGCTCCAGCGTCGATTATCCCAGTGTTGACGATCCCTACACCAACGACGTCTTGCCTGAATGTGATGATCTCTCAAACAAGGGATCACGCGAGGACGTCGGGCGCGAAGGTGACCCCTATGCAGTCGATTCCGAATCGTCTGGCCACTCACTCTCACACCAGTGTCTGTTTGAAGACGAGCGCTGATCTGATTTGCTGTGATGACACGATTTCTCAAGGCCAAGGTACGGATAAATCGATCCTGGGCTTGAGTTGTCGCCCTTGGTCGACCTGAGCGTGGTCTGTCCTGTACAGATTGTGTATCACGGTATCTGGACCATAGCCTGCTTATGACAGACTGAGAAACATTCATCGTCCGCGCCACAACCGCCTGTGTTGTGCCGATCTGTAGCATGCCAAGGGCACGTAACCTTTCATTTTGGGTAAGCCGACGCATATCAAAATTTGTTTTCTGGTCACTAAAACAATTAAACTGATGTTTCCACCCTGGAATTCAATGCCACAATGACTGTAACATTCAAAGTCAGAGTCGTGCAAATCTTGGGTTGGACCCCCATGATGATCCCAAGCATCACATGCATTCCATGCGGTAGGTATTGGTGCGTTTGGGCGTCACATGTAACTGGAAATGTTTCTTCTGTTAGGTTCTATAGTGACTTTTTTCGTAGTCATTTGCATATTTTAGTATTATGCCCCCAAAATCAAATATCCCCTACTTTTTTTGAATAGTATACATGAAAATATGATTTTAAAAGCATATTCTGTCTCCACAACCCACAGTCTAGATCTAAACAATAATATCTTTAACCAAGTTTATAAGTTTATGATATATCAAATAGATATTAATCTCGATCAAATTGCTATTTTATTTTCAATTTTATATATATCTTCGACCAGTTCTTTAAGGTTGTTGCTCGTGTTTTCGCCATAAGGTCCGATGTTATAGTAGCTGTATGGGTGTGTGTGGGTGTGCGCGTGTGGGGTGGGGGTGTGCCTGCATATATGTTTGTATACTATAACCTATAATACTATAACATAAGCAAATTTTCAGATGTTGAAACTGTCAATTTTAAAAACTATTCACGCCATTTACTGATGATCGACAACTCATTTTCACTTATTATTTATTTATTTATTTATATATTTTAAATTGTTATAGTTCTTTGTAATTATTTAGCATGAATGTTCAACCTACTGCTCTTAACTGTACTCTCACTTTCACCATTTAAAAAAAAACACCATATAAAAGGAAGCGATATTATATGATTGTTTTCGTATCCTTTAGACTGTACAATAGTATGATTATATGTAATTGTATTGAATAAAATATTGTTTAAACCAGTATATTATATACATGTACTACACATTTTCATCCATTTTATTACATGTAAAAATCGTAACTATGTATATAGACACCTTTGTTGTTTTTTATTAATATTACTATACATTTTCATGCATTTTATTACATGTAAAAATGTGAATCTTAACTATGTATATAGACACCTTTGTTGTTTTGTATTAATATACTATTCAAAAAAAGTAAGGGATATTTGATTTTGGGGGCATAATACTAAAATATGTAAATGACTACGAAAAAAGTCACTATAGAACCTAACAGAAGAAACATTTCCAGTTACATGTGACGCCCAAACGCACCAATAGCTACCGCATGGAATGCAGGTGATGCTTGGGATCATCATGGGGGTCCAACCCAAGATTTGCACGACTCTGACTTTGAATGTTACAGTCATTGTGGCATTGAATTCCAGGGTGGAAACATCAGTTTAATTGTTTTAGTGACCAGAAAACAAATTTTGATATGCGTCGGCTTACCCAAAATGAAAGGTTACGTGCCCTTGGCATGCTACAGATCGGCACAACACAGGCGGTTGTGGCGCGGACGATGAATGTTTCTCAGTCTGTCATAAACAGGCTATGGTCCAGATACCGTGATACACAATCTGTACAGGACAGACCACGCTCAGGTCGACCAAGGGCGACAACTCAAGCCCAGGATCGATTTATCCGTACCTTGGCCTTGAGAAATCGTGTCATCACAGCAAATCAGATCAGCGCTCGTCTTCAAACAGACATTGGTGTGAGAGTGAGTGGCCAGACGATTCGGAATCGACTGCATAGGGGTCACCTTCGCGCCCGACGTCCTCGCGTGATCCCTTGTTTGAGAGATCATCACATTCAGACAAGACGTCGTTGGTGTAGGGATCGTCAACACTGGGATAATCGACGCTGGAGCAATGTGATGTTTTCAGATGAGTCAAGGTTCACTGTTGATTTTTTGGACAGACGTAGGAGGGTGTGGCGTCGTCGAAACGAGCGCTTCCAAGACGTTAACGTCATCAGACATGATCGATTTGGGGGTGGTTCTGTTATGGTGTGGGGAGGCATCACTGTTGCTGGAAGAACGGCTTTACGTGTTGTTGCAGGTCGTGTTACAGGCCAGTACTACCGGGACAACATCTTGGCAGTCCATGTTGTGCCGTTCGCACGACGTCATGGTCGCCGTTTCATCTTCCAGGATGACAACGCAAGATGTCACAGGGCCAGGATCGTTACAGGTTACCTCCAACAACAGAAAATCACCACATTACCTTGGCCAGCACTGAGTCCCGACCTCTCCCCCATCGAGCATGTCTGGGACATGCTTGGACAGAGGTTACGTCAACGTCAACAACGTCCTGCCAATGTCCAAGAACTTGCTGCTGCGTTGCAACAGGAATGGGACAATCTGGACCAAAATGACCTTAGACGTCTCATTAGGAGTATGCCACGTCGGATCAATGCTTGTTTGGCAAACAGAGGAGGATTTACCCGTTACTGACTTGGTTGTGATCCTGTGGTAACTTTGCTGTTTGACCCCGGGTATCATTTTACCCTTATAATGGTCAGTCTGTGCCTTACTTAGTCTAACGATCATTTGGAATAAATCGATGAATGTGAACTTCATTTCATTTTGTCATTTGTTTCTTCGTCAGTTTCATTAGGTGACTTTAATAACACTTAAAAATCAAATATCCCCTACTTTTTTTGAATAGTATATTATGTATATATATGAGTTTTACATAGGCTAAGAGAGGGGGTTGGATGGCCAAATGGTTAGCAGGTGCGCGCTGTATCACAAGGCCTGTCATTGAGTCAGCTAGCGTGGTTTCGATTCCCCGGTTCTACGTGACAAAGAGTAGGGACGCCTGTCCAACCTCGTGGGTTTTCTCCGGATCTCTCTCCTCAATCAATCCCGTTCAAATATCCTGCATAAAAATATTGTTTGTTGTTTTTTAAAAAGGGTATATTTTGTCTGTTGATTTTGAATTTGGACTGTGATACTCATATGATGCGCGTTTTTTTTCTGGGGTCACGGTGGCTCAGTGGGTGAAGGCGGCTGGCTCACTTACCAAGAGGTCACGTGATTTTTCAACGTGCTTTCCTTGTCAGTGGTGCGGGGAGGAATGAAATGAAATGAAATGGGGTTTAACGTCCTACTTTTCTGCTCTTATACTGGGCTAACGAAGACGGGCATACACCATACAGTGTGCTATGAGGGAAATTTTGCCCGGGCAGCGGCACTATCGCTTACTCTTATATCGAATTCCAACTGCCAAAGGATCTTTTTACGTGCATTCCAATGTATACACGGGACCTCGGTTTTTCGTCTCATCCGAAGGACTAGACAGCTGCCGTATTCAGTGTCAGGTTAGTGCAGAAAAGTGACGAACTTGAAATGAAATGAAATGAAATGGGGTTTAACGTCCTTCTGCCCCGACCGGGCTAATGCAACGGGTAAATCCATACAGTGTGATATGAGGGAAATTTGTCCTAACAGCAGCGCAAACGACCTAATCTTATATGGATTCCAACTGCCATGGGATCTTTTACGTGCATGCCCATGTGTACACGGGGCCTCGGTTTTGCGTGCCATCCGAACGACATTGAAAAGGTGGAACCACGCCGGAAAATTCCGATGAACTTTCTCGGCCAACGAAAAACTTTAAAACTTTATTTCATTTTATTAATCGCGCTGTTTCTTGAAAGGTGTCACGTTTATAAAGTAAGCTAAGAACGTATCGAGTATAGTACATCAGTTAGTTGGATAACTCTAAATCAGGCCATATCAGTCTAAAGTTCAGAGGTCGTGATATATAATCTTAACTTTAAATAATATCGTATTCTATAATTATAACTGTAGGCTTAAATTATTGTAGTTGTTTAATACAATCTATTAAATAAATATGCACCAACAAGGAAAATGAAAACTATACTATGAGGAAAATTTTGTCCAGGTAGTTGTTAATGGAGCTCTTAAAGTAGCTAATATCATCAAAAATCTTCGACATTGAAAACACGAATAATTTGCCAATTTAAATCAACATTGATCTTGAGATCTTATATAGGGAAAAGGTAGGCAAGCTTCTAATATCCAATATTTAAGATATAATAAACATTTTACCAGCGCCATTTGAAACAGGGGACTCAAAGAACGAGGCAAGACATATCCACAATGTCATGTCAACTGGTGA